CAACGGCAACCAGCAGACCCAAATGTCCTGGTCATCTCCCATGCAAACACATTTGCAGCCCTGCCAACCTTCCAGCAACATTTTACACACTGCACTGCAAGACACCTGCTTTCTGTGCTGTTAGCTAGCTTTTATTTGTAGCAGATCTCCCTTGGTTGCTGGCTTCACACATTACACAGCACACCACTTTTAGATCTAAGAGCTCTTTCTCTTTACAGTTTCCCACCATGGTATCCTCCAGTGGTGCAAACTAACACTAGCGCCAACTCCACAGCTCTAAAAACTCCTCCAGTCTCTTCAGCCCCACTGCTGGGGCAGGAACCACTGGTATGAGAAAAAGAAAGACGAACAAAAAGAAAAAAGGGGGGCAGGGAGGAGAGAGAACAAGTGGACAAACAACTTCACATGTTGGCAATCCCCAGCTGCCACCAATCAGGGTGTGCCTGTAAGTTGCCTATCAGGCAGATAAGCACAGAGAGTTTTCAAAGAAATCATAGTAGAGCTGCTTAACATCTAAATCAGACAAGTAAACCAAAATAACAAAGCAGAACAAGAAGAAAAGCATTAAGCTAATTTGATGCAGGTGCCTAAAGCTGAGCACCAGTTCAGATGTGACTGTAGGTACAGTCACTAGGATGAAAATGCAGAAGCCAGCATTCCTAATAAGCATGCATACATTTTTACCCTGTTCCAAAAGCCACATTCTGCCTTGTTTTACTTTTATATGCACTAAGCACAGGGAAAACCACTTCCCAGTATGTGGGGTGAGGATGGGAGAGGAAGAAAGAGACTATTTGCTCCTCACTGAATACAGGATTCAGTAAAGACTTCACTCTCAGGGCTTTGCAGCTGTTCCACTGATCCCTAGCCAGCTCCAACTTATGAAGGAAACCTGCAATCAGCCACAGAAACAGCAAGAGGCAGACAAAGATGTTTTCCTGCCCCAGAGAAGTGTCCCTTTCCTTCTTCAAGATTCCTCACCCTACGCTTCAGCAATAGGATGGGGAACCATTGGACCGATGGCGGGGGCTGGGGGAGAGGGCTGCTGTATGAATTCAATGAAGGCGCACATATAAACTTGGCATAATCCTGATTATTGTTCATTTGGTAAAAGCTTTGGAGCATGCTCTGCTCCTGACTTGCAGAAGAACTGAATCAATGTGAAGAGCTGGCACAGGCTCATTAGAGAGGCTGCCTCCTACCAGCCTTGACAAACTTAGGTCAAACGTACAGAAGTACTGATAAATGAAACTCACACCGATGCTTGTAAGAAAAGTTAACATTTCTTGCTGAAAAGTACAGTGAAACAAAACAAAACTGAAGTTTACCTTCTCTTGAGCTGACTTTACAACACTAACAACTTGTTTAACTGCTAGCTCAAGCGGTTCTGATGGGTCATCTTCCTCAAACGTGAGCAACTGTGAATCCTAAGAAAGGAGAAAAAAAGCAGCATTGTTAGGTGATGAACCCATGGCTTGAGGAGTGATAAAAATGCGCTGCCAGTGAAGTTCCTGGAAGAACTGGAGACAGAATTGCAAATGTATGTCAAAACTTGCATGTATTAATTGCATGACACCTCACTACATTATGCAGGGTAGAGTCTGAAAACCCACACTTAAGACATAACTACAGGCCTGATCATAACTCATCTTTCTCTGTAGCAGAGGATCAAGATACACAACGTAGCACAGCACAGAGGGAAGTCCATGAACAGGGACAGAGTTCAGTGAAACTGCTCTACTTGAGTAAGGATTAATAAGTGTGTCATTTTAAAAGGCATTTTTGGTCTGGCTTAATAAATTAAGAAAAGCCAAACATCATCTTGCAGAGGTGAGGAAAGAAGCCTTCTCCTCCACAAGTCCTTCCTCATGTGTGATGGCAGGCAGCAATGACAGCGGCTCATTCTTCACACAGACAGCAAGGAAAAGACTGTGTACCTGTTTTGGCACTGAGCTCATACTATCAGAGACATCAGCACTTGCATTCTCCACCTGCTACCCACACCAAGCCCTCAGCACTGCTTCCATCGGCACGCAGGGTTGTTCTGCACTCAGGAATTTCAGCAGCAGCATGCCACTGTCATTGTTTTGGAAGGCTGACAGTGGGAGCCACGCCACACTGCAGTGCCAGGCAGTGAACTCATGGCAAGAGACAGCTCCAGCTGCTCGCCTGGGGAGCGAGGGTGTGCATGTCCCTGTTGGGGTGGGTTTGGTCTCTGGCTGGGGATGGGGACGGGAAGCTGCCACTTGTTTCAAGTCAGTTTCAGTTCCTAGCACCTGTGCCCAAGCTGTCTGGGCTCTTCTGTTCCACAAGCGCAAGGCAAACCTTCATTTCTTAGCACAACCCATGCTTTTCTGAACCACACCGTGCAATTTGAAAGGGCAGACGAAGTATTTTCTTTCACTGCCCTAACTTAGGGTGATGCCTGCAAAGTGTTAAACTGCATTCCTTATCTTTCACACACAGATGTTGCCCTGCTCTTCCTTCTCCCCCAGCCTGCCCCCAAACTTGTAAGCAGAAAGCATGCTGGGGCTGCCGGGAAGTGAACCTCCTAGACCTAAGGAGAAGGCTGCGCACAAATTCAGAGACCTGGGTACACACCGCTTACTAGATAGTTTAACCTCGATATTTTCCACTGATGTGGCAAGGTTTCAGTCCTCAGGATTAGGGGATTAGGTTGCCATAGCCTCACCTAACCTCCTCGTCTCTTACACCTGGGCATACCATTACAAATCACCAAGCAGGATGCCATGCCACATCCTTTGTGAGAAGGGTAGGATGGGATGCCACATTTTGTGCATTTCTTACCTGACTTGGGTTAAAAGCAAACTGACCAAAAATGGAGAAGCCCACGATCCTGCAGCTGACTGGAGGCTGCTGGGTCCAGCATGGCCAAAGACAACATGAAGGAAGGCCAGCTCTGGGAGTTAATTGCTAAAGGACCGTGCCCGCGCCCAGGCCAGGAAGTTTCCATTGTTTCCTCCTCCCCACACCCGAACAATGTTATCAGCGGCGCAAGCCCCTACTAGGAACTGCGGGGGTCGCGGCTTTCACAGCCTGGTAAGGGCTGGAAGGGACCTCTCGGAAGATCATCCAGTCCAACCCCCCTGTCAGAGCAGGATCACCTCAAGATCACACAGGAACACGTTCAGGTGGGTTTTGAATGTCTCCAGAGAAGGAGACTCCACAACCTCTCTAGGCAACCTGTTCCAGCGCTTTTTTCCTTATCTCCCTGTCCCTTCCTGCTCGCGGGTGTGCACCCACTCTGCGCCTCTGGTCGGCTCCTCCCTACAAGTTCCTACCAAGCAGCCACCAAACATACAAATATGTCTATGCATATATATACACATACATATATATGCTCACATACACACAAGCACACGGAGGGGCAGTGACACACCGGCAGGCGCTCCCAGCAGCGTGCCGACGGCT